TTTCTTTCTTTCTTATCGGCCGACCCGACGAGTCGATGGATACCCGGTATCATATCAGAGTAACTGGTACTGGTATCATACCGGTACAGTACATACAGTTGTCATAACTTTCCGCTCCGTATCACGCCATACCGCTCGGAAAACCCAACAATCAAGAAAAGGTGAATTAAAAAAATTAAAATTGAAAAAACGGGTCTCACGGAACGCTGGAATATACAAGTGCCGGTACCGTACTCGAGTATCGTGACAAACAAATAAATACGGTACGGTAAAAGTGAAGAGTAATCCAAAATGTTCTGTCTACCGTACCGGTACGGTACTCGAGTACTTAACCTTGCTTTCCCCTCGTTAAACCGGCGAGCGAGGGAAAAGAGCGAACGAGCGAACGAGCGCGAGAGCTAAATTAAAAAATAATAAATCACAGTATCGTGTGATACCGATACCATACCAGTAATACCGTGGTGAAGAGAAGGAGAAAAAAAGAAAAAAACTAAAGGTCTATAATATCGTGCCCCACCCCCCCCCGCCTGTCAGAGTTGCACTCAGGAGCATGATATGATACAAGTACAAGTACCGTTTTCCACAGGGTATCATAGGGGTAAATCGTCAAGACATCACACCAGGAGAGGGGAGATTGATCAATCACCCTTGCCTGTCAACTGGCGGGTACGACACCCTGACTCCCCGGAAACCAAACGCTCAGACAAAAACAGAACAGAGCCGTGATGTGATGTGAAGAAAAAAAAAGGGAACACACATCGGTGTTGCAGCACAGTCTCGGACTTTACACCGCCATCACCCCTAACTGGGTACTTGTGCCTACCGTATCATACCTCCATTGCATAACGGTACGGTACGGAAAAAAAAGGCTTGTATTGTGCTACGGAACAACACCGCCATCCATTCTAGAAGTTCCACTCAACGGAGAAGGACGGGCGGACGGATTTAGTGTCTTCAGTGCCGTTCGACTACCTGCCGTACCATAGTTCCACATGTACGGTATCATATCGATAACGCTAAATTGTGCGAGTGCAGTTTGTCCCACCAACAACATGTCATAAAATCGTGCAGAGGGTGTGGGGGTGCTTGCGGCGAAGACTTTGCTTCCCCCCCTCCCGAAAAAAAAAAGAGGGAAAGAAAAAGGTTCTGGAAGGGTTTCGGGTCGTACAGTAAGGGAAAAAAGGAAAAGAAAAAAAAAGGGAGTTCCGCCGGCGGGGGGGACTATCCATGGTCTGGATTTTCCTTTTCATTCCTTCTTTTTTTCTTCTTTTCTTTCTCATGCTCTGCTAAGTATGATACAGGTACAGTACCGGCATTTGGGAATACTACGGCATCAAGGTTCATGATATCCCGGGAATAGCTGTATCGTATGATGCTCTCTAAATTTGTTGTCGGAAGAATATCGTACGGCTACCACAAGTCACCTTGTTCCCGCCCGGAGACCGGCCACCATGTCCGAGACGGTCGGGCTGGCCCGAGGCGACCGATTCCTGGCGGTTCTTTTCTGGCCCTCTCGTACTCGCACTGCGGAAGAATGAAGGTTTGCGCATTGTGGTTGTGCGCCGATCACCGAGACCATCAATGGCAGTCCGACACCACAGGAAGAGGAGAAAAATACCGGGTAGGCTAAATTTGCACAATCGATTATCGAGCGGATAAGCAAACGGCGATACTGATAGGAATTGCGTCCACCGTCCCTGTAGCACCAAAGCACGCACCATAACCACGATACATTACCGCAGATCCCCGATCTCACCTCCAGTTCGAGAGCATGCTTGTCCAAACCAGATACTCGAGTATATTTTTTCTACCCTACGGTGAAAAAAAAAAAGCAGTAAGCTTGATCTGGCACCACAAAAAAAAAGGAAAAGGCGATGTCATCCGACAGTCTAACCACCCTGGGTCTCACAAATCTCGGAAAGAGGTTAGTCTAATCCTGTTTGGCGGTGGGTTCCGAGGCCCGACCCGACTTTTTTTCTCCCTACCGCACCTGTGGTTGGCTGTTTTTCGCTTGTGCGTGTTTGCAGTTGGGGCTGGCTGCGCCTGGTTCTGGGCGATTGTGCTTTGAGCATTCCACGGAAGGAGGGGGTGGCTTGGCTCTTTTTTCTCACTTGCCCGATTCTTTGGGGCGCATTTTGTGACGGCCGGTGGAGATCCACGGCTTCTCGGTCGCGAATGCTTGCGCGAGTAGCATAATTCGGGCGTGTGTGCACCCATGTACCGGTACTGTACGAGTACGAGTACTGGAGTACCGTACTGT